ACTACCACTGAGCTGACTCCGCTCTGAGCAAGCCACACGTCCTACCAGTAGCACCACACAAGAGAACACAAGGCTTTAAACCCTGCCCAGCCCACTCAGCCCTGCCTTGCTCCTTTCACAACAGGATGAGCTGCCTTGCGTGTGCCCACACGCTCTGAGTGCCGGCATCGCTCCTGTCAGGGCGTGCTGTGTCACCTCCCACTCCGGGAGCACCCACCCACAGTCACCTGGAAACACCCCGCTGGAAACAACAGGGAAAAAATTAAAAAAAAAAAAAAAAACAAAAAGCAAGCAGAGACGTGTTCTTTGCTGTCCTGAGAAATCCCCTCCTCCCTTGCCAGGGCTGTGCAAAGCTGGTGGCAGCTGCCAAGAGCTGGAGTCACACTACACCAGCTCTGCCTTCACCACCACGGGGAAAAGCCCTGCACCCTGTGAAATGACACCATGTTTGCAGCAGCTGCCCTGCACAGGGAGAGCGTTCCCAGGGATCAGTTTTCCTCAGACGAGCACTGATAGCCTGGGCTGCAGCTAAAACCCCTGCAGTGGGGAAGAGGTCACTTGGATTCCTGCCCAGGGGCAGTGGCACCCAGCAGCTGCTCCAGGGATGTGCCTCATCCCCCCACAGACAGGGAAGAAGGTCCCACAGTCAGCTGCTGAACACATCCCACATTCCCCATCTTGCATTCTAAAGAAACACAAGAGGCCCACTCTGGACCCCAATGGAATCTTTTTGGAGATGTCAAAAGCATCTCCTGGGCAAACCAAACAGTTTAGCTAAATCCTGTGACTCAGACAATAAAAACTATCAGATCTGAGCCAGGCTGGACCCCCCTGGGCCGAACACTCACTGCAGAGGCAGCTGCTGCAGCTGCTCCATCCATCCAGACACATCCCCGCTGCCTCCCTTCTCCTCTGGAGCCGCTGCAGGCTTTGGGCGCTGACTCCTCCTCCAGCACACCCTGCCCTGTGCCCGTGGCAGGGTTTGGAATACAGGCAAAGGCTTTGTGAGTCCGGGCTCAGGGACCACAGAGAGAAGCAAACACTGTGCTTCTCGGGGATGAGGCCCTGCCTGCCCCTGATTGTATTACAGGGGCCCTCCCAAAACCACTGACCAGGACCCTCTGAGTGTGGCTGAGCCAAGAGTGCCCTGAACACGTACCTTTTCATGCCACTGAAGTAATATTGCACTGCTGTTTTCTGATGGCTTTTCAAATCCTTTATAAATGTACTTCATTAACAAGTCAACACCGTTTCTGTCTAAGGAATTCACCGCTTGTTCTATTTCACTGCTTTTAAAAGATGTGAGGACTTTAAGCATCGTTCCCTGGGCCTGCTCCTGAGAAGACAAGGAAAGGAGAGGAATGTGAGAACCCACAGTTGGGAACGATTCCAAGACTCACGTTTGAGAAAAGGTGGCCACGTTCCAGGCTGGGCTATTTCTGTAGGTGATCAGTTGAGCAGCTGAGCAGCCCCGGGGTTAAAGGAGGAGGAAGGGGAGAACGCCCGGGAATCACCCGTGTGAGGACACGGCCGTAACCGCGGCAGCTCAGGAACCCACCGGGAGCTGATCAGGGGGGTCACTGTCCCCTCCCAGCTCCCGACCCCCGGCCCCGTTACCTTCATCGCCTGGTTCCTGGTGTTGCCGGGGGAGCTGCGGATGGCGGTGTGGAAGGCTCGGAGCGCCTCCCCTGTGCGGGGGGTCAAGGACTCAAACCCTCGGTACCGGGGCAAAGCCGCGCCAGGCCCGCGGGGGGACTCGGGGGACCGGGCGGGTCCCGCCTCCGCCCCCCGGGACCCCTCGGGACCCCCCCCGGCCCCCGTCCCAAAGGATATTGCCTGAGCAGCGCCTCCACCTCGGGGCTCGCATCGGGCTCGGCCGCCGCCGCCTCCTCGGGCTCCTCCACGAAGCGGTTCTCGTCGTACTGGTCGATGTCGAGGCGGCGGAAGCGCGAGGAGAGGGTGCTCCGCGCCATCCCCGCCCGGGCGGGCTGCGGGGCGGACGGATCGGGATGGGGATCGGGGAACGGCAACAGGAACAGGAACAGGAACAGCATCAGCGCAGCCCCGGCGGAAGCGGAACCAGCGCCCCGCCCGGGGACAGGGCACGGGCAGCGGGGCAGGGCCGGGGGCAGCGGGGCGGGGCCGGGGGCGGCACCAACGCGCGGCTTTAGTAATGACACAAGAGAGCCTGAAAAAAATCCGAACGATGACTTTAATGTACAAATCCCGTCGCTGCAGCAGGTTCGCGGGTTTAACCGGAATCCCGAGGAAAACGGAACAAACCGGGAGCGGGGAACAGCCCTTCGACCGCTTCGCTGGGATCCACGAAACACTCGGACAAGGCCCCGGCACGGGCGGCCCCGGCCCCGCCGCACGCCGGGCACGGACTTTGCTGCTGAAATTTCTTAAAACTTACCAAAACAAAAAGCTGAACAAAAGACGGGCCCGAGCAGCTCCCAGAGCGCGGGGTTAAAGGAATCAGTTCATCTAACCCAGGACTACATGCAGTAGTACAAATTTCAAGGACATATTACAAATACTCTGAAATTAATCTAGGGGAGGGGGAAAAAAAAAAAATTGCTACAGACACCATAATACACAATAAATTTAGATAATTTAAAAATAAAAAAGGCAAGAGGCAGCATTTCAGCAGCAAAGTGCTCAATAAAAAGTATATTGTAAAGGGGCAGGACAAGGAGAGGAGAGAGCAGGCGGGCGAGGGCTCAGAGGAAGTAGGGCGTGGTTGTCCGGGGAGGAATGACACGCTCTGAGTCTGGAACTGCACGGAATAACTTTGGTTCTCTTGTATTTACATCTTTGAAGACCATGATGGAGGCGATGTTCCCGCAGCGGTAGCAGTAGTTGGGTGCTGACCATACCGTGACCAGCTTCTCGTCAAACATGAACTTGTAGCCCTCGTGGACGAGCTGGTGTGCTCTGCAGATCAGCTTCAGGTTGTTGATGTGGACGAACTGCAAGGGAAGGGGGAGGTCAGAGTGCCCCCAGTGCTCCAGCCCTGCCACAGCCCTGGAGAGCTGAGCAGTGAGAGACCTGCACGGGTGGAACACCCAGGCAGTGGAAACACCGTGGAGTGGGGCAGCAGCCACACTCCCAGGCTGTACCATCCCAGGCTCAGCCCTCCCTGCCAGGGCAGAGCCCGGCAAGGCCAGTGTCAGAGCCCTGAGGAGCTGCTCACTGCTCTCCAGAGAAACAAAACTAACTCAGGAATTGTTACGAGCAATGGTAGTTTTCTGTTAAACCCTTTGGAAAGCATTCCACACACAGACAGCCCAGGGGCACACCAATGAGTATCACCACGGCACACTTTTCAGAAGCAAGGTCAGTGTTAGCACACTTGGCAGTTGTGTTTGTGCCTTTGGGTTCCAATGGCTCAGGCAAAGCTTCCCCAGCAGCAGGACCTGCTGTCGGGGTGTGATGGGGGGCTCGTGGGCTGGCAGTCCCCCCGGCTCTGCAGGCGCCTCCCCAGCAGTTACCTCGTTGGTGACCTTGGCCCCGAAGAGCCAGCCCGCCCCGCGGGGGCTGATGGCCCACGTGTCCACGTCCTCGGGGTCCGACCACACCAGGTCGCAGAAGGCGCCTTTGTGGGGGATCTCCTGGTTCCGCTCGATGGTCCGGATCTGGTCCAGGGTCTTGATGTCCGGGGAGAGGCCCCCGTGCACGCACAGGATCTGCTCGTCTATCAGCTGCAGGGACACCCCGTGTGCAGCACTCAGCACTCCCCCAGCCCCAGACAGGCCCAGCCCCACAGCTCCCCAGGCTCTGCTCCCCTTCCCGGGGGGCTGCACTTACAGCTGCGATGGTGAGCATGTCAAACACTTTGGTGCAGTATCTCCAGGCGTTGGCGTTCCCGTACTTGGTTTGGCACTCGTCTGTGGGACACAGTGTGGGGTTTCATGGATCAGGGGTGCAGAGCAAACACTGAGAGCAGCACCTGTGAACTCTGTGTCACAGGAGCCCCATGCTGGGTCCTGCTGTCCCAGGAGGGGCTGAGCTCTGCCTGTCTCTAAAACTGAATGTGGCACCAAAAACCCCGCAGAACCCCACACGTTAAAGGGCAGAGCAGGATGTGCCTTAAACACGTTCCAGACACAGCCCCAGCAATGGAATGGGTGAGAACACCCGAGTGCACTGGGCCAGGCCCCAGAGAGCCCTGGGCACTGGCAGGGCTGGCAGGCAGGCTGGCAGGGCACTCACCGTAGAACCCGTACACCTGGGTGATCTGCCTGCTCTCGTGGTTGCCCCTCAGCAGCGTGATGCGGTCGGGCCACTTGGCCTTGAGGGCCAGCAGGTACGTGAAGGTCTCCAGGCTGTAATAGCCCCGGTCTACAAAGTCCCCCTGGAGGCAGAGACACCGTTCGTGCAGCAGCCCCCCCAGCAGAGCACACGGGACACCCCCCGAGCCTGCAGGGAGCCCGGGAGCGCCGGTGTGACCAGGGCCCCCCACGTACCATGAAGATGTAGTTGGTGTCGGGGACCTGCCCGCCGGTCCGGAACAGCTCGCACAGGTCATAGAACTGCGGGAGGAGACACGCGTGAGGGGGCCCCGCACCGGCCCGGCGCTGCGGCGGGGGCAGCCCGGCCCGGAATTACCTGCCCGTGGATATCCCCGCAGACGGTGACGGGCGTGGAGACGGGCTGGACGTTGGACTCCTCGAGCAGCAGGTCACACACATAGTCACAGAGGCGCTGCGGGAGCGAGGGGGCAGGGCCGGGGTCAGCGCCGGTACCGCGGCCCCGCCAGCCCCACCCCGCGCGGGCGGCCGGTCCCGGCGGCCCCGTGAGCGCACCTTGAGGTCGTTCTCGGGCAGGTACTTGCACAGCCGCGCGATCTCCACGTACTTGTCCAGGTCCAGCGGCGCCATCTTGGCTCGAGGCTCGGGCCGGAAGCGGAGCCGCCACTTCCGGCCGGCGGCGCGCGCCTCCGGCGCAGGCGGAAGCGCGGGGACACTTCCGGCGGCACTTCCGGTCCGGGAGCGGCGATGGCGCCGCGGGCGCTGCCGGAGCTGCGGGAGGGGGGGCGGCCCCAGGCCGGGCGGTGGTGAGGGGACAGCGGGGACGGGACAGGGACAGGGGGACGGGATAGCGGGGATGGGACAGGGATAGCGTGGGGGCGGCCCCGGGCCGGGCGGTGGTGATGGGACAAGGGGACAGCGGGGACAGGGGCAGCGCGGGGCCCAGCGGCCCGGCCCGGCCTGGCCCTGTGTGAGTGCCTTGGTCGCCCCGCAGGTACCGGCTGAGCCCGCGCGGGGAGCGACCCCGCGCCCGGGTGGGACTCGGCTGCCTCGCCCTGCCCGGTCGCGTCCTCCTGCTGGGCGGCGCCGACCCCGCCGGCGCCTTCGGGGACGCGCATTTCGTGGAGCTGGGTGAGGGCCGGGGCCGGGCAGGGCCGGGCGGGGCGCCCCGGAGTGCCGGGCCCGGTCCGAGCGCTGTCCCCGCCCGCAGCCCCGCTCCGCTGGGTCCCCGCCGGCTGGCGGGGGCTGCGGCCGCGCTACGAGCACGCCACGTTCCTGCCCGGGCCCGGTCCCCCGCGCCCCTGGGTGTTCGGCGGCGCCCACCCCGCTGGCAACCGCGGCTGCGTCCAGGCGCTGGACCCCGGTGAGTGCCGGGGCGGGCGGGGCGGCGGGGCGGGCGTTCCCTTCCCGCTGTGCCGCTGATCCCATGTCTCGAGCAGAAACAGGCGCGTGGGAGAGCCCCGCGGTGAAGGGATCGCCGCCTCAGCCCCGCACGTTCCACACGTCCTCGGCCGCCGTGGGGGCCCGGCTGTTCGTGTTCGGGGGCGGGCACCGGGGCGCCGAGCCGGTGCGGGACCAGCGGCTGCACGTGTTTGACACAGGTACCTGTGCCGGGCCCCGCGGCTGCTCCCCCTGCTGACGGGGCCGCCTCGGGCACCGGGAATCCAGACCCTGCTCCAGCCACTTCCTCGGGAAGCCTTGGTGGGGCTTTGGTCTGGTCTGTGGAGCTTCCAGAGTTCCCTTCCTGATGCATCAGTGCTCTGTTTTAGCCACCCTGACCTGGTCTCAGCCAGACACTCGTGGGGACCCCCCCTCCCCTCGCCACGGCCACGCCATCGTGGCAGTGGGGACCAAGCTCTTCATCCACGGGGGCTTGGCTGGAGATGTGTTCTACAACGACCTGTTCTGCATCGACACGAGTGAGTGTGGGTACCTGTGGGGTGTGCCTGGACTCTGGGGGACCTGGCTCTTTGGAAATATCAGCGCTCAGGTGCCTGAGATAGCCCTGTCTTTGTGTAAAGCAGCAGAGCTGGAGGGGCTGGTGTAACGCACGGCCCCTGGCCTGTTCTGCTCCTGCACCAGGTGACATGAGGTGGGTGAAGGTCCCGGCCACCGGTGACGTCCCCGGGGGACGAGCATCCCATTCCTCGGCTGTGTTCAGGGAGCACGTGTTCATTTTTGGGGGAATAGGCCCAGAAGGGTCCCTGGATAGCACATACAAGTATCACACAGGTAGGGGCTGCTCTCCCCAGCTGAGGAGCACAGCACCTGCCCTGGGCTCACCCTGCAGGACTCAGTGCTCGAGGCTGGGGCAGTGAACGGGGTCACTGTCCCTGTGTGTGACAGCTGAAGCTGTGACTGTGTCTTTGCACTGCAGGGACGCAGCAGTGGACGCTCCTGCAGTTTGAGTCCCCCCTGCCTGCTGGGAGGCTGGACCACGCCATGTGTGTCATTCCCTGGCAGGCTGGGACACAGGGGGACATGGGAGCCCCCACAGCTGGCACAGAGCCACCTGTGGAGGGGGACAGCTCTGGGCCCCTCCAGCAGGGCCAGGGCAGCACTGAAGACACGGTTGTGCATCTGCTGTTGGTGTTTGGAGGGATGGACACACAGGGGCAGCTGCATGGGGACTGCCTGGTCACCCTCCTGGAGTAGGGGGGCTGTGCCCCTACAGCACCAGCATTCCTTACAGCAGGAGAGGCCCCTGGGGCTGATTTTGCCCCTGCTGGCTGAGGCCTTGCAGCCCCAGGCCAGGAAACTTGCTAAGGTCCTGGGGCTCTAAGGCACTACTGGAGCTGGCACCACGAAAGCTCCCTCTGGACTCGGTTCAATGTCTTATCTAATCCCATGGATGGGATAAGGATCACAATTAAAATAAAGAGACCAAATTCCAATTAGATTTTTTTTTTTTAATAAGGCGTAGGCTGCTTTTCAGTCTTCAGAAAACTGGCCTGTTTCATGTGAGACTTCAATAAAGCTCCTGAGAAGTTTTAATACTGTAAGAAAGTGTGCTCATAGTTAAGCCAAGCTCCTCCCTCCCTGCTGTGCGCCCTCACTGCTGCAGGTGAAGGCTTCTGATGGATAACCTCTGGATAACTCCCTCTCCCAGCTCAAGGAAAGCTGCCCCTGTGGCAGTTACTCAGGCTCCATCCCCCCTTTCTTACCGGGATGTTACATCATACAACTGCAGTGGAGGCAAAGTCCACCAGCTCCGTTCAAAAACAGAGTCCCAGCTCAGTCCAGCTCAACAGATGCCCAACTCCTGCTTTAAAACCTCCCAATTCTTTTCCTTTCCAGCTTCATCCACTGTAAACTTGGGGCTGTGCAGGGAGACTTGCCCCCAGGTACAGCTGCTCCCCTTTTCATAATCCCATGAGTGGTACTCCAAGGGTGAGCTGCATCCACCCCTCAGGATTAATGCAGCTCCTGGATGGAGCTGCTGTGACTGGGCCATGGAAATCACAGAACTAGAGCAGAGTCCAGTGTAAATAACAAATTTATTGTGGTCACTCCAGGTAGAAAAGCTCTACACCAAGTTCACATGACCAAGTTGTTAAATAGAACGTTCCACTGCCAATACTTCTAAACCCCCATGTACACTCCCCCCCGGCTCCCTCCCCGGACATCGAGCGACTGCTAACGAAAAGCAGGATACAGCCACGTCGGGCTAGCGGTTCCAGCTCCACTCTCGAGTGAAGATTCAGAGTTACATTCCAAATTAAAGAGTTCAATATTTTAAACAATGTTCCTGAGTCCAATATATACACACACCACATTCGGAGACGCTGTTATCTACAACTCGTCCTTCTCTGCCGCCTCCTCCTCGCCCGGGGGCGGCCCCGCGCTGCCGTACAGCTTGCTGACGATGGGCTGCACCACCTCCTCCAGCTCCTTCTTCTGTGCCTTGAAGTCTTCGATGTCTCCATCCTGATGGCTCTCCAGCCACTCAATCTTTTCCTCCACTGCCTTCTCTATAGTTTCCTTGTCCTCAGAGGACAGCTTCCCACCCAGCTTCTCCTTGTCCCCGATCTGGTTCTTCAGGGAATAGGCATAGCTTTCCAGCTCGTTCCGGGCATCGATGCGTTCCTTGAGCTTCTTGTCCTCCTCAGCAAACTTCTCAGCGTCGTTCACCATCCTCTCGATCTCCTCGGGTGTCAGCCGGTTCTGGTCATTGGTGATGGTGATCTTGTTCTTGTTCCCAGTGCCCTTGTCCTCGGCCGTGACCCGCAGGATCCCGTTCACATCTATTTCAAAGGTGACCTCAATCTGGGGGACACCCCGGGGGGCAGGAGGGATCCCGGTGAGATCAAACGTTCCCAGGAGATGGTTGTCCTTGGTGAGGGGACGCTCACCTGGAAGACACAAGGAGAGGGTTACTGTCCAGCTGTACTTTGTAAACCCAACTTCTATCTACAGCCTTTGTGACAAGACAGCAGCAAGAATAAAAACCCTACAGACTCCACTGGTCCCATGAGCTACAGTGACACCCACCTTCATAGACCTTGATGGTCACAGTTGGCTGGTTGTCAGAAGCTGTGGAGAAGATCTGGGACTTCTTTGTGGGAACAACAGTGTTTCTTGGGATCAGCTTGGTCATGACACCTCCGACAGTCTCAATGCCAAGTGTCAGGGGACAGACATCGAGCAGCACCAAGTCACCTGGAACAGATCAAGGGCAAGACTGTGACACCACTTCAACATCCCAAAACTCCAGAGAAGATCCTGAAGCCTAAGGGGCACAGAACTCCAGGGACTGGGAAAGACTTTGCTTGTCAGTGCCCAACATCCACTCTTCAGTCATCACTGAGGTGACAGTGATGGTGTCATTACCTGTGTCCTGGTCTCCAGAGAGCACTCCAGCCTGGACAGCTGCTCCGTAGGCTACAGCCTCGTCTGGGTTAATGCCACGAGAAGGTTCCTTCCCATTGAAGAACTCTTTAACGAGCTGCTGGATTTTGGGGATGCGAGTTGATCCACCAACAAGGACAATCTCATCAATGTCAGACTTCTTCAGGTCAGAATCTTCCAGAACTTTCTGAACAGGCTTCATGGTGGAACGGAACAGATCCTGTGGAGACAAAAACCCCATAACTGTGAGACTGTACTGTCAACATGTCCAGTCTCCCCTTTGTGCCGCTCTGGGGTACAGAGAACAAGCACTGCAGAGGAAGGACACCAACTGGCTCACGAGCAGCCCTGGTGAGGCCCTAGCTCCCCGGCAGGGAGCAGCTGCCTGCTGTTCTGTGCAAGCAGGAGTTATTTATACCCCCAAGGGCAATGTCACAGCATGAGACACTGCACATTCCCAAGTCCCCAGCCCAGAGCAGAGGCCGTGTAACTTTACCTTTCCAAACTTACCATGTTCAGCTCCTCGAACTTGGCTCGGGTGAGTGTCTCTGAGAAATCCTCTCCCTCAAAGAAGGACTCTATTTCAATCCTGGCCTGGTGCTGAGATGACAGGGCTCGCTTGGCCTTCTCCACCTCCCTCCTCAGCTTCTGCACAGCTCTGTTGTCCTTCCTCACATCTTTGCCAGTTTTCTTCTTGTAGAGTTTGATGAAATGCTCCATAACACGCTGGTCAAAGTCTTCTCCACCCAGGTGAGTGTCACCATTGGTAGCCACGACTTCAAACACTCCATTGTCGATTGTGAGGAGGGAGACATCGAAAGTGCCACCACCCAGGTCGAACACAAGGATGTTCTTCTCTCCCTCCCTCTTGTCCAGTCCATAGGCAATGGCAGCAGCTGTTCTGTAGAGGTAACAGCCTGTCAGAGCTGGGGGTGGCTGCCCAGCCCTCCCCAGGGGCAGGACAGGGGGGTACTCACGGCTCATTGATGATGCGCATCACGTTGAGCCCCGCGATGGTCCCAGCGTCCTTGGTTGCCTGGCGCTGGGCATCGTTGAAGTAGGCTGGCACTGTCACCACGGCATGGGTCACCTGGGCAGGGAGGGACAGACACAGCTCTGTTAGAGACAGGATGGAGAACCCCAGTCTGTACAGAGCACCAGCTGCCCACAGCAGTGCTGGTTCCACTTTCTTTACACAGAGGTGAAAACCCGTTCAACAAGGGGCCTGCAGCGCTGAGTGGGGCTCAGGATGGCACGGGTAGCCCTGACTCACCCCACCCATCTCTCCTTTCCTAAAGGTGCTACTCTAAGTGGGTATTAGCAGCTCCCATGCACTCACTTTCTTCCCCAGGTAAGCCTCTGCAGTTTCCTTCATCTTTGTCAGGACCATCGCAGAAATTTCTTCAGGAGCAAATGTTTTTGTCTGTCCCCCTCCAACATCGACCTGAATGTGGGGTTTGGCTTTCTTCTCAACCACCTGAGGAGAAAAATAGACACTGTCTCATTCAATCCTTCATACAGTTGTTAGGACTTGTCCCAGTGGTTTGCTATCTCTGAAGACCACACAAAGTCTCTGTGACAGATGTAATTTAGGTGCAGGTATCACCAGAAACTGTTGTTCCTCCCAGGAGGGCTGGGGAACCCCAGGGCTGCTAGGAAGGGCACCGTGAGTCAGATGCCTCTTCTGACTGGGGCTGTAGGTCCCTCCCGGCCCCCCCCACTCGCACTCAGGGCCCACCTTGAAGGGCAGGTACTTGATGTCCTGCTGCACAGAGGGGTCGTTCCAGGTGCGGCCGATGAGCCGCTTGGCATCGAACACAGTGTTCTCGGGGTTAGACGTGAGCTGGTTCTTGGCGGCATCGCCGATCAGACGCTCTCCCTCGGGGGTGAACGCCACGTAGGACGGAGTGATGCGGTTCCCCTGGTCGTTGGCGATAATTTCCACGCGCCCGTTCTTGAAGACGCCCACGCTGGGGGTGGGGGAGAGGGAACCGTCAGGCGGCGCCGCGGCCTGCACATCTCCCCCCGCCGCCCCTCCCCTCCTCCCGCAGCCTCTTCCCCGCATACCCCGGGGCCCGCAGGCCCTGACCCCCCGCCCCGGCACTGCCCCAGTCCCCACGCACCAGGAGTAGGTGGTGCCCAGGTCGATGCCCACCACCGTGCCCACGTCCTCCTTCTTCTCCTCCTCGTCCGCCCTGGCGGCGCCAAGCGCTACCAGCGCCAGCAGCAGAAGCCTCATCGCGACCGCTCTGCGCGCCCACCTGCGGGGTCACAGCGCCGGTTACACAACGGAGCGCCACGTGCGGCCCTCCCCGCGCCGCAACCGCCCGCCCTCCCCATGCAGAGCCACCGCCCCCCGCCCTGTCCGTGCTCAGAGCCGCCGCCCCGACCCCCTCGGCCCGGCCCGGCCCGCGCCGCCCTTACCGTGCCCGGCTATCACAGAACGTCCCGGCCCCGCCGCTCCCCGATCGTCGCTGCGCCGCCAGGCCGCGCCGCCCGCCCTTTTATACCCTCCGTTACCCCTTCGTGGAGCCTCCCCATTGGCCGCCGCGCCCTCGCTGGAGCCCCCCCATTGGCCGGCTGCGACCAAGCTGGCCTCTCGCGATTGGCGAGCTCCGCGCGGCCGCTCCGCCGTGCCAGGCGCGCCCCCCTCGCGCCTCCCCATTGGTTCCACCCGGCGGCCCCGCCACGGGGAAGCGCGAGCCAAGCGGAGCCGTCCCATTGGCTGGGCGGGACCACGGCCGGGGGGAAGGGGGAGCATTTCTGGAAGTTTCCATGGTTACCGGGGGGGGGGCGCCACCGTCTCCCGGGGACACCGGGGGTACGGGGGTTACCGGGGGTGCGGGGGTTATGGGGGGGTATCGGGGGTTACCGGGGGCCCCGCCCGGGGGAGGTGCGGTGAGGTCGGAGGCCGGGCCGGTGTCACGGCCGGGCTGCCCGGGGATGAGGTGACACGTGTGTGCCCAGAGCCCCCCCGGCCACACCGGGGCCGGTCCCGCCGGTACCGGCAGGTCGCGAACGCCCGCCGTGTCCCGACACAGCGCCTCGCACGCACAGGCCGGGCCGGGGCTGTTCCCGCCCCGCCCCGCCCGGCCCGGTCCGGCACTACAAGTCCCAGCAGCGCCGGGGCCGCGTGCGCAGAGCCGCGCCCGGCCGGGCCGCAGCGGGGCCGGCAGCGCTCGGGCCGCCGAGAGACCGCCCCGGGGCGCGGGGCCGCGGGAGGAGGAGCGGCAGCAGCGGCAGGAGGAAGGCCCGGGGCCTGACAAACCCTCCGCTTCTTCCAGGGCAGCGAGAGGGAAGGCGGGCGGCCGAGCAGGGACGGAGCCGAGTGGGGTATGTCGGGTGGGGGTATCGCGATAGGGCGCCCGGGAGGCGCGGGGAGCGGCGCGGGGGCGGCGGGAGGAGTTGCCCGTGGGGTTCGCTCGGGGGGGTGTCTGTGCCCTGCAGCCCCCGCCGGGGGCCCGGGGGTCGCGGCTCGGGGGTGTCGGGACCCCGGTCCACGGGCAGCGCGGCCTCGATGCTGCCGCTGCCTCCCGGCTGCTCCGCGGCTTTTGTGCTGGGCACGTCCAGCGCTTGAAACTTGACGAGTGCCGGGACTTCCCTTTTTGGGTGCCCGCAGACCCCCAGCCCTTAGAGCCCTGTCCAGGCGGTATCAGGATTTTTTCTTGCAAAGTCATGATCCCGCGCTCTGAGAGCTGTCGGGATGGAGCTCTCGGAGCGGGCATGTGACACTACACTTACTGATAGGTAAAAGGCTATTTTGGTGGACTGTGCGATTGACTCACAAGTAGAAGCTGCAGTTTGGAGAGGATGGAGGGGGAATGGCATAGGCGGTACGGGAAATCTGAAACATTCTGTAAAAGTAGCAGGGTGGTGGCTTCAGGAACCAGACTTTTACATCGCTGCTGCCATGGAGGGTTCCAAAGTACTCAAGATACTCCACACAGAGGTTTTGGGGTGAGACTTGTCAGGTCCTGGAGAATACACCCTCCTCGGTAGCAGCTGTCCTCCCTGGTGGCCCCTGGATGGGATGTTTCACTGTGGGGAAGGGAGCTGCTCTCAGGAGAACAGGCTGGGAACAGGTTGGTTTTGTCAGTTTGAGTTCTGCACTTGTTCCAACTGAAAGTTTTTCAGTATGGCCCTTACCTAAAGGGAGTTCCTCTTTACAGCATCACAAGCAACTGGAGAGGATTTTAGTCTGGTTATGTACTTTTTACTGATTTTATGCAGTGCAGTAATACCATAATAGATAATTTAGTAGCCAGCTGATCCTGTGCATTACTGATCAAGTTCTGTTTTGGGGCGAGGGAGACAAGGTGCTCCTTGCCCACGGATGGACAGTATGTCCAGTGCTGGCTGAGAGCAGCCTCTGGCAGGAGCAAGCTCGAAGGATGAGTTTCTTATTGATGTCAATTAGACAGTGGAACTGCATTTTGCGTGTAACACGTGCATTTGAGATGGTGGGTGTTGTAACCTGAGAGTTCAGCAGATGAGCCCCAGGTCATGGTGAACCATCCTACCCAGAAAAAGGCTCTTTTAGCTCGACTGTGGCAGACAGGCTGTTAGCTTGTATAAAGAAATGAGGCTTGTTAGTTGCTACTAAAAATACTAGTGAGAAAAGAGGTATTTCATCAGGGCTGAATTAGCTTGGAAGCTATTCAGGCTTGCTTAGGAGTTACTTTTGAGTAAGAAGGAGTGATTTCCGTTGTGCCTTGCCCTGCCCTGCCTACGTTAGATCTGCCCAAACTTGCTTTGGAAGTTGTCTTGTGCAGCGAGACTCAGGAGGAGCCACTAACCCAGAGCAGGAAATGCTGTAGTAGGAAGAAGAATCTGGTGTACCAGCAGTATTTACCACTTTCCTTAATCTCTTTTCTGTCAAGTGAATGACAGACATGCTAAATAGGGATGTGGCTCATTCCTGCATGTCACAGGACAAACCTACAGAGTTTTTAAGGTGGAGTTCAGGACCAAAAAGTTCAAAACGTCAGGACTTTTAAGGGTAGGAAGGAATCCATGTCCTGTGTTCATCAAAGGATAGAATGCCTCAAGTTCTGAACAAATTTGTGCTGCCAGCAGGGCAAGGCATCTCGGATACTGTCAGGTCACGCAGTCTTTGTTGTTGATATGTGGAGCATCATGAAGAGAAATTGTTTGAGTTGTTGTGCTAAGCTGCTCTTACTGTGTCACAGTTACTAGTAGGTTCCTGAGAAGTCTTGAAATAACTGACAGAAAATGGAAATGTTTTCATATCAACGTGAAGTTTCAGGATTTAAAAGTAATCTGCGCATAGCAGAAGTTATTTAATATCTGTTGTTTCTTCAGCCACAGCAGGCTGTTGGATGTCTAAATATCCTAAACTGTCTCCTTCATGCAGCTACATACAGATACCTGCTGTTCCAGGTGTGGTGAGTGGCACTCCCAGACCAGGTTGCTGGATAATTACGGGCTCCTTGTCCCCAGTGCTGGCCTGGAGTGAAGGTTGTGGAGCCTGTCAGAGGGTGCAGCCGCTGTCCCTTGGGACTGTTTAAAGGGAAGAGGTTTTGGGGGAGGAGCAGTGTGTGTCAGGTGGGTGTGTTGGTGGTACAGCAGTTTCTCCTTTCAGGACAGGCTGTGTCAGTAACAGCAGGATCTGAAGAGAGGAGAAGCACACGTATCTTGCCCGACGGGGTTTTTTGGGGTTTCTTTCCTGAGCTCTGCTGAAGTGCCGTGTGTGTTAAACTTCACATCTTCTGCTCTCAGGTGTCTGAGGGACCTCAGGTGAGGACAAAGTTCTTCCTGTGCTTGTGTGGCTTCAGAATAATCATTTAAAGACTAGTGAAAGGCAGTGACAAGGTGTTCCTCTCCATGGAGGTGGATCTCAGCAGCAATGCTTGGAGTCGAGTCAGTTGGATTTTTATGGAGGTCACAAAGTTGAGGAAGCTGCTGGTCCTGTTTTCTTGTACGTAGGGTGGAAGCTGCTGTCGTGCAGTTGTCTTCCTATGGATTGACAGGAAAATCCTGTGGATTTTCACAGTTCCTGACAAAGCAATGGCACACAGTAACCTGCTGTGGCTCAGTTCTGAATCAGTTCTCTTGCTTTGGTTATTTCTGCTGTTGTGCAGCAGAGGCAGATAACACAGACACATGGGTAGTGCCAGCTGATGGGAGGTTATCAGGTAGTCACGAGACCAGTATATTTAGAAGTACAGTTGCAGCCAATGGTGCTCTTTGGGGCCCTAATTTGGGCCTGAAGTTCATGGTGACAGTTTGAAATTAAAAATCAGAGCATACAGCAGTGGGCAATGTCCCACAGCCACTCAGGGCCCAGTGTGTGGGTAAGGGCTGAGGTGCTCTGGTCCTGTGCTGGGTGTTCACTTCACTTTCCAAGTGGGTGTGAGGCCATTCTGTCAGGCTTTTTGGAGTGGCATCACAAATGATTGCTACTGTGTTTGCAAGCAGTAACAAGTTTATTGCTGGTTTTGTTTGTGTTTGGTTTTTTTTTTTTTTTGTGAGCCCTTAAATTCTGAGACAAAAAATAAATTTGTTGCAAGAAGTTATTTGTTTCTCAAAGAACTTTGGCAGTAACAGCAATGTTTCTTTTTCTAATCATTTCTCTGAGACTGCCCTAGTTAAAAACATCTGAGTTAGCTCATCCTTCAAGTTCCTGTTGTACTCTCATCTTTGGGTGCCTCAGCTGGAACCTTTGGTTGCTGGGTTTTTGGAGGGCTTTTGAGTTCAGGGTTATTTTTTTTTTTTTTTGAGAGCTTTATATACCCAGTTGTCTGTATCTGCTAGGAATGGTCTTTACATCTGACACCATCAGGTGTAATAAGACTGCAAAGTTTTATATCTAAAGATTGTGACAGCTTCTCTGTTTGTCTCTGCCTGGGTTCTGGTTGTGAGGTCAAAACTATAGATGAAAGAACTTAATTACACAGGGAGCAGTGATGGTTGTCAGTGCACCTGCTTATCAGGCTGAAAAAAACGCAACAAATGGGAAACCTGTGCCTAATTAGGGAGCTAATCTGTATTCCTACTGTTCAGCAAGGATCACCTCCTGCTATGCTGAACAGTGAACCACAGATCTTTAAAACACTAAAAGGGGAGAGCACTGAGCCAGCACATGGTACATTATTTGTACTTTCTCAAGCATGGACTAAATGGGTTTGTGAAGCAAGACCTGTCTGGAGTCACTGCAGGTTGTGGGAAGTAAGTTTTTTATTTTAACTGTAGTGTGGCTTTGAAGGGTTCCTCAGCAGAGCCCTCTGGCATATCCATTGCTGATATATCCTACAGGTAGCTGTTACAGATCACAGACTTTTCCTTCCTAAATTATCCGGTGTGGCTGTTGATTCTGATGGGGAAGACATACAGCAGTTAATCATCAATTCCATGACCTGCATGATTTCCCTTCCCTCATCAGCATTAATGCAGTTGATTTTTTTTTTTTTCTCCCATGGAGTTAATTTTTAGATGGGTTTGCTCCTGGAACGTGCCTTGACTGGTGTGGTACTCTGCTAACTGAGATATTCTCTAATTGTGAAGTTGGAGCTGATATCACATTCAGACAGAGCAGTAGTTTGTGCAGATTTTAGCCCCTAATGTGCTATGAAAGACCACGGCTGTTTCATTTTTTCTCTCTCTAAAACAGCAGTTTTGGATCATGGCCCAGAGAAATATTCTTCTGAATTGAAATATTTGAGGAATTTTTTTTGAATGAATTCTCCTGTTGAGCAGAGTCTCCAGACTTATTTCCAGCTTCTGCCTTACCTGGCTATTGATACTCCTTGGGGTTTGCTTTTTTTGTCATTTTTTTTTTTTTTAAATTAGTAATTTTTTTTTTTATAGCAGAAAAGAGCAATACTGGGAGGTTGGTGCTTCTGATGCACCAACAGGTGAGAGAGGTAGCAGCCCAGAGATTACACCCCAGTGCTTGTGTTACATGGGTGGGCTTTAGGATGAAGGACTAAAGGCAGAAATCTTTATGCCTGTTCCCCAGACAGTGGGTGGGAATGGGATTGGTCTTCATCTCCCCGAGCTTGTGTCACCTGAGCTGAAGAAAGGGCTGTGCAGGTGATGGGCAGACTCCCACCTCGTGTACTGGGGGTGTGGGCAGGGGTTGGGCAGTGCTGTGTGTCCCAGTTCACCAGTGCCAGCTGAAAACACCCTTTGCTTCTCTGCAAGTGCCCCTGGTGTGCTGACAGAAGGAGGGCTGGTGGCAGTTAGGAAACCTTGCACTAAGAAAGAGTGAGTGGGTCGCTGAGTGCTGGGCTGGGGGTTGGAGGGAGGGGCACAGAGCAGGATTTACTGCCCGGTGTGGGGGCTGGCGGGGTTCGTTCTCTCACCGTGGCACTCAGCAGTGCCGTTCTCTGTCACTCAGTGGGTGCTGTGTCCCCCCTGGCTGCCCACCATGGTGAAGCTGGACATCCACACGCTGGCCCACCACCTGAAGCAGGAGCGGCTCTACGTGACCGCCGAGAAGCAGCTGATCCAGCGGCTCAACGCGGACGTGCTGAAGACGGCGGAGAAGCTGTACCGCACCGCCTGGATCTCCAAACAGCAGCGCATCAACCTGGACAGGCTCATCATCACCAGGTGACTGCTGCCTGGCAGATAAGCCAGCACGTTTTTCACACTTAGAGTCTGGAGTGCTTTGCTCACTATAGAAACAGTGAGGTTTAAAATCAAACCTCAGCAAGGGAATCTTAACACGCATGAAAGTTACTGGTTGGCCATTTAGACAGCTTTTTTTTAATACCCGTGTTTGTTGTGCTTTTGTTCAGAGGAACAAACTCTCCTGAACTTGCAAATCGCTTGTAGTAACTACCTGCAAAGTCTTTTTTCCTTGGTGGCTGGCTGGTTAATAGATTGACCATGTGGCATCTCTTAGGAAGATCTTGTTTACTTAAGAGTTACTTACACTGTTTCAATGTTTTTCTTTAAAGTGCTGAAGCTTCTCCTGCCGAATGTTGCCAGCATGCAAAAGTCTTGGAGGACACGCAGTTTGTGGATGGATATAAGCAGCTGGGATTTCAGGAGACTGCTTATGGAGAATTCCTGAACAGACTGAGAGAGAACCCAAGGCTTATTGCGTCCTGCCTGGTTGCTGGAGAGAAGCTCAACCAGGACAACACTCAGAGTGTCATTCACACAGTCTTTACCTCCATTTATGGCAACTGCATCATGCAGGAGGATGAGAGTTACCTCCTGCAGGTCCTCCGTTACCTGATCGAGTTTGAACTCAAGGAGAGCGACAACCCCCGGCGGCTGCTCAGACGAGGCACCTGTGCCTTCAGCATCTTGTTCAAACTTTTCTCTGAGGGACTCTTCTCTGCAAAACTCTTTCTTACTGCAACCTTACATGAGCCAATCATGCAGCTTTTGGTTGAAGATGAAGACCACCTGGAAACCGATGCAAACAAGTTAATTGAGAGATTCTCCCCAGTACAGCAGGAAAAGTTATTTGGAGAGAAAGGCACAGAAAAGTTCAAGCAAAGAGTCCAAGAGATGGTTGACTCCAATGAGGCCAAGCTGGTGACCTTGGTCAACAAATTCATTGGCTATCTCAAACAAAACACTTACTGTTTCCCTCACAGCTTGAGGTGGATTGTGTCGCAGATGTACAAAACGCTGTCGTGTGTGGACAGGCTGGAGGTTGGGGAGGTCAGAGCAATGTGCACAGATCTTCTTCTGGCCTGTTTCATCTGCCCTGCAATCGTTAACCCAGAGCAATATGGGATCATTTCTGATGCTCCTATAAATGAGGTTGCAAGATTTAATCTGATGCAGGTATGATTCATGTTAAAGCAGTCTTAAAATTGTACATATGAGAGATGTTCTTGGCCTTTTTTTTCCCACCAGAACTGATGCTACTACAGTAAAGGTATTGTCTCTCCTACTTACAAGAGGAATGCCAACAAAATGTTTATGTTAATTGTTGCTTAAAATACTGGCTTGAAGCAACTGACAGCACATATTCCTGTGTCCCTTGGAAGAGTTGCAAATATCCCGTATAAAAGCTGGTATAAGGGATGGAAGCTAAAGCATAAAACTGACTGAAAGATGAATTCTGGAACGTGTGTAAATGTGTTGTGCTGTTCCTGCTAATGTTAAATGTTGTGCCAGGTACTGCAAAGGACAGTGCAATATTTTGCTGAACCCCCCTTGCTGTCTGGCAGTAACGCCCGGTGTTTGTGGTGGGCAGCTCTGCTGTGTCATCAGCCCTCAGAGCGCTGCCCAGCCCTCATGACCAGGTTTTGTCTCTGTGCAAACACTTGGCCAGTTTAATGATGGTACGTGAAGGTGTTGTCTGAAGGTGTTGAGCAATGCTCCTCTGACTGAGGATGCTCCCCACACGAGGAACAAAACCTGCTTTTTAACACTGTCTGTAAACTGGGCAGGGAGTGATTCTCACAGCATAATCGTTCTGGTGTGTTTTACACAGCGCTGTTCTAAAATCCATTAGCAATCCTCTCCTGTGCCACTGCTCAGATGCTGTAGCAGAGCTTGCAGCTGACAACTCTTTAAACTGAGGGTTGTTTTGCAGTTGGAGATTAATAAGGGATATGTGCTCTGAAATCAGGGTTAGCCCTCGTGCTATTTTTTCCTCAGTAAACTATATGCAGCCTTTGAAAACCTCTAGGTTTAAGATGACCTAGATTCAACTCTCAATTGTGACGTGTTGTAAAAACAAAACAAGCTTTGTTCCTGGGAGGGGGAAGTATGGATGCTCACAGCACATTTTCTGTTAAATGCAATGACTGCTTTTTTTCTAAAGCTTCTTGCTTTTCTTCTGCCCTGAAAGCAAGCACAAGACTCTGTTCACTCAGTTAGAAGTATTTCTCGGAGCATTAATTGAAAAAGGATTTAGAATGAAGGAGGTTTTTTTGAGTAATTTTTGTAATTGGGTCCATCATGTTGTTTTCAAAGGCTTATTCTTTGTACTTCTCTTCCATTTCAGGTTGGGAGGCTTCTGCAGCAGCTGGCAATGACGGGCTCTGAGGAGGGAGATCCACGTACCAAGAGCAACCTTGCTAAATTTGACAAAGTAAGAATCCAGACTGAAAAAACCCTGAGGCTCAGTGGATACGTCATCATCCTTCTGCAGTCTGCTTTTTCAGACATTGCAAAGCACTTACTAAGAGTTTAACTTCCGAGTTACATGTACTGAAAAGCAGATTGAATCCTGCACAAAGCTGGGCAAAAAAAATCCTGAGTGCTGGAATTAAAGCGTCGGGGATTCTTGCCTCTGCTCTGACCTAATACTTCTTAAAAGAAAATACAAACCAAGAAATTAAAGCAAATTACATTTTAGACTGCACAGGGAGTGTTCAAGGCCAGGTTGGATGGGGTTTGGAGAGACCTGGTCTAGTGGAAGGTGTCCCTGACCACGGCAGGGGGTGTGACTGAATGGTCTTTGTTAGTGCAAGTAACTTCTGATCCTTTTTCTTTTGCATAGTTTTGCTTTTTTGTTCAGCTTTTCCATTTTAGTGTGAATCTTCTGAGAGTTGGACTCTTGTGGGTCCCTTCGAACTCAGCATATTCTTTGGGTCTGTAATTCATAGCCATATAGCAGTTACCTTCATCAGAGCAAGGGTGAAACTAATGATATTTGTTGTACTGTCAGATGGTTAAAAACCTATTGATATCCTTGTGTACCTTCCAGGTTTTTGCTAATTCTAATTGTTACACAGTCATACCACAAAGCAACACATTTATTATAAAACTAACATGCCATCAGATTAGAAAGAGATGTTGTGTGTTGCTTCCTTGTTTCATTTTTGTTCTGTGCTCAGCACATTCTTCAGGAAGGGGCAGTTTAATTGTCATAAAACAGTTTAATTATTTAAAAAAAATTTAAGAGGACACTTAAGTAACACTTTTGAATGCAGAAAAGCAAAGCAGGAAATGCTAAAAGTCACTGCATGCTTTCCTTGCTTGTTCTTCAGGGCTTTTAATGCTATCTGCTACTCTGACGTAGGATTTCAAAAGTAGGAAGCAAAACTTAACATCATTCTGTAAGTCCTGTCATAAATGTCTTTGCAAACCCCAGAAGTGGTCCCTTCCCTCTCCCTGCAGAGCTGTGTGGCTGCTTTCCTGGACGTGGTCATCGACGGGCGGGCGGTGGAGACGCCTCCCATGTCTGCTGTCAACCTGCTGGAGGGGCTGAGCAGGACCGTGGTGTACATGACATACAGCCAGCTGACCACTCTGGTAATGCCTCATGTCCTTGAAAAGAAGTGCTGTAAACTTGTGCCCAAATGCCCACACGAGCCAGGCTGACCTTTTACAATTCTTACCAACGCCGATTGTAAATGTTTAGGTTGGCTTTATGCGCAACGTGATGTCCAGCGATCAGCTCAAGGAAGATCGGATGGCTTTGGAAAACTTGCTGGCAAACTTACCCCAGAACAAGCCAGGGAAAAGCAGCAGCCTTGAAATGACTCCATATAACACCCCCCAGCTTTCTCCTGCGACCACTCCAGCTAACAAAAAAAACCGGCTACCGATAGGTAAGGGGAGCGAGCGGAGTCTGCGTGGTTTCTGTTCCTTGGGACATTTCTGGGCCGTTGTCTCAGGCATCTCTTGGGGCTACTCTTTGCCTACACCTTCAGTTCTTCCTTTTTCTGTGTATGCAGTGAAGAATTGTCTTTAGCATAGAAAGCCTTGTGATGCAGGAAGGGTGGGTGAGCTTCATCCTCCGGACTGAGCTTGAGAGAAGCAGTGGAGTGGATGGCAGTCATTCATGATGGTGGGGGCTGACAGTGATAATAATGGGAAAGTTTAAAGAGGGGAAGCAGATCTGGGAGGGAAGATTGCTTAAGGAAGTGTTAAGATGGAAAGCAGAGTTGTTTAATTAGTGGGATAGAGTAAGTTTAACATTTTTCTGTCTCAGAAGAGAGCAAATGGGGAGGAGATGAACAAGCAGGAGCAGGGCTTTCAGAGTATGTGCTGAGAAGAGAAGCTTTCTCCTCTCTTCATTCTTTGTCTTCTCTAATTCCAACTGTCAGTGTTCTGGAATGCAATTTTATGTTGGTTGGCTTTTGTTTTTCGAAAAGGATTTCTGGGTCTTAAACTTTTCCTTTGCAATAATATTTTATTTTTAAATAGAAAATACTCAGTAACTATTTATGTGATGAATAATCAGTCAGTGATCATTTATGTGATTATGACTACATGGGATAGTTTTGTTTGAGAGATTTGGTGTTGGTGTGTAAAGGATGAAAATATGCAGAGCCTGATAAGTGGCAAAAAACCCACAAACCCACTCCCGAGACAAACCTGTCCCATGTTGTTTTAACTCTGCTTCTGAATGGCACTGGTCTTAAGCCTATAAAGTAGTGGCACAGCAGCATTTATTTTATGGTATAAAATAGCTTTTGCTTAAAGTTTTTATTTCTTTTGTTTCATTTTAATGCTTTCGAAATCCAGGACAGCAATTGGCAGCCATTACTGCCTGGGATACCTCTGCCACCAATCTGTCAGCTCACATAACTCTAGTAACCCCTTTTGGTGGGTAATGCCCTCTTTCCTTCCTCCTGTCTGAACCTCTGACCTGTGTCACGACTCAAGCATGTCTTTGGGTTACTCTGGCAATCAGTTCCCTTTTCAGATTTCTTCATTGATTTCTCTGTGAAACTTACTTTGTGTTCATGTGGTTTTTTAGAACCCTTCCTGTGCCTTTGGGCAATCATCAGAATTTGGCTGTGACTTCTGCGCACTTGCCTTGTTTTCCCCAGATCAAATAAAGAAGTAATTGGTGTCATGCTGCCATACTGAGAAATCTTAATTCCATGTGGGCGTTTTTGCTTCCACGGAGCCAAACATGGGAATCTGAGACCAGTTAAAAAGATTAATAGAGTCACAAAATAATCAGAGTAAACCACCCGATGTTGTGTTGTATGTCTGTGTTTGAGACACCTTTTAGATATCTGGCTTTTTAGGTGAAAAAAACCTTCTAAACAAATTATTCAGAGTTTTAAGCCACAGAAACCTAGATGTTTTTTGTTGGTAACAAACTTAATTTTCTTATTTAACATATTAAAGGTCTTTCTGTGATTGGAATATGCTGAATTTGTGTAGACAAACAGCACATAGTGTACCTTGTTTCTCTACTTCTTTTTTTGTTGAAAGTTTCCTTCATCAATACTCAAACACCAGTTCTATATCTCAAAGTTTAATAAGACTTTGATTTCTTAAATTTATTTTGTAGGTATTACTAATTGAAACACTATAGTTCTGTATTTCCATTGTGTTGTCCTTTTTTCCTCTTTAAACAAGGAAACTTTCTAATGTTGATATTTCAAAATATTTTCGTAGCAACTCGAAGCAGAAGTAGATCAAATATTCTAATGGATCAGCACGGAGATCATGAAGGATCCTCTCAGGAGACTATCCCAGAAGTTCAACCGGAAGAAGTGCTGGTGATTTCTTTGGGGACAGGTCCACAGATTACTCCAGGAATGATGTCAGAAAATGAGGTATCCAGACACGGTGACATCTCAGATATTTTGAACAGTGCAGCCTCTGTCTTCTCAATAGCAGAACAATGAGGTTGTAACACTTCAGTTTTGGTGATAATTGGAATTAAAATCCTTGCTTTATGCTACTGAACTTGGGGCTCGTAGCTTTTGGATTTCTCTCTGTTAGGTGTTTTTCTTCCCTCGCTTAAGATGCTTAAGAGCAAACCTGAGCTATTTCTGAGGCTGAAGAAAGTGATGCAAGTGCCCTGTCCCCTGGATCAAGGGACACGGGTGAATGACAGAACTGGAGCACCAATCCCAATGTTTTTGGCAGCTCAGACTTGAAAGGCAGAGGCCCAGCTTGTTGTGCAGGCAGAGCTGTGCTATCAGTGCCATCAGTGCCTGCAGAGTGTTCTTAGGGCAGGGCTGCATTTACTGCCTTTTCTTTCTCCAGCTGCTGCTTCCAGATTTGCTGCCTTGCCTGGAGATTGGGATTATCTCCTTTGGCAGCCTCGTGGAGCTCAGTTTCCATGTTACTCTGGTCTGTGGGGTGCTGTTGGAGCTTGACTCCATTATCAGGACATGCCTGATGTTCCCAGTGTGGTATCTTGCATTGTCCCCAGGCCCTCACTTGGGAGACTGCTGCCCTTCTTCAGATGGAATGTTAGAAGCTTGATTGTGGCACTGACAATACAAAAATGTGCCTCCAATATTTTATTTGCTATTTAGTTACCTGAGAAATAGGTGATTTTAAGGAAGTCTTGTTTCTTTCCCCACTCTCCAGGTCTTAAATATGCAGCTTGCAGATGGCGGGCAAGATGTCCCCATTGACGAAACCAAACTCCATGGTAAACCTGATAAAACCTTGCGCTTTTCCCTCTGCAGTGATAATCTGGAAGGAATATCTGAAGGTGAAGGGCTGCTTAAGTCTTGAGGAAGTTTTGTTGCTCTGTTTTTTGGGTTTTTTTCCCCCCTTAAATCTAAAGGAAGGTGTGTTAGATACAGCATCTCATCTTTGCTGTTTTGAAGGCCATGTAATGTGGGAGCCTGTCTTTTCTTGTAGTTGTTCAGAGAAAAAAGCCTGCAGCTAAATTTTGACCTACAAAGGCATAACCAAGTCTGAGAATTGGGAAGAGAAAAACTAAGTATGTTTAGAAAGACAAAACAAAGGGATATTTTTTTTGAAACTTAAATGTAGTACTAGTTATTAAGATAATCTAATTTAATTCTTAACTTGGGCTTCTCAGACTTATTTTTCATCATCTTTTAGTGAACTGTTACATATCTTAGAATAATTTCTGGACTCTGGACAACTCCTTTTTATGAACCTTAGGCACAACAAAGCACGGGTGTCTGGGGGATGGGAGAGGTTTGGACAGATCAGTCCTACATTATTTTGTGTAACTTCCATAATGTAGTTTTTGCTCTCTGTCTCCTCAAAATAAAGAAAACAAATTCACGGGCAAATAAATGGCAAAGACTTTACTGAGTGTTTAGTTACAGCAAAGTACAGGAGCGGTGGCACTCAGTGTTTTATGTAATTTCTTCTAATTTTTCTGGTGAATTGCGCTCTGGATTGTTAATGCTGTATATTTAGGCACTGTTACTCAGATTAGATTTAGAGTCAAATCTGGTTTGGCAGGTCCTTCAAACCGCTCCAACTCGGTGTCCTCGCTGGATCTGGAAGGGGAGTCGGTGTCAGAGCTCGGCGCGGGCCCCTCCGGCAGCAACGGCGTGGAGGCTCTGCAGCTGCTGGAGCACGAGCAAGGCAGGTGCCACTCATACAACCCAAGGAGCTGGGGATGGCAAAGCCAAGGTCCTGTGCAAAAAGGTTCAAAATGCACTAGTTCAGGAATTAAAAAGCAGGTGTTTTGCTTTTGTGGTCGCTCCTGCATTTATTTATGCTTTGGTTGGGTTCATCCCAAGAAACATTTCTTGTAGTCTATTGTTAGGGAAAGGAAATCACCTGGAATTTTGAGGCTTAACTCCTTTGTAGGAAACTGCTTGTGAAGTTTTGCTTGATATCAAGCTTTTCCTTTCAGGAGTAGGGAGATCTGGATTGGAGTAGGTTAAAAGCATCTGGAATAGTTTCCTTGTTTGATATAAATTTGTCAAACACTGAACAGGTTTCCTGAAGAGACTGTGCTGTCTCCAGCCTGGAGATATGACTGGACGCGGCCACGAGCAACCTGCTGTCACTGATCAGGGCAGGGGGTTGGGCTGGATTGGTCTCTGGAGGCCTTAGCTTTTCTGTGGTTAGTTCTTCTACAGGAATCCTATCATTTTCTTGATAGCGCTACATTTCATTTATTTTGTCTGTTGAATTAGTCAGTAGGTCACCATGTTTACTTCCAGATTCTTTTTCTTACATCTCAAATGTGTTTTCAGAGAGCATCTTTTGGATAGTATCACAGTGCTTTACAGGCCTTACTTAAAATCACTGTCTTACCTGACAGAAATACAGGGTTAGCTGTTTGGAGGTCTTTTTCTACAGTGCACTCGTCCAGGTTTTCAATCTGAAGTAATTGGAGAAGCCTTTCAGAAAGTTGAGAACTGTTTATTTTCCCACAGCCACAACTCAGGATAATCTGGATGACAAGCTCCGTAAGTTTGAAATCCGCGATATGATGGGTTTGACTGATGACAGAGACATATCAGAAACCGTGAGCGAAACCTGGAGCACAGATGTCTTGGGAAGTGACTTCGACCCCAACATGGACGAGGACCGGCTGCAGGAGATCGCAGGTAACCGGGTGCTGCACCTGGAGCGTTCCTGTGCTTCGCTTGCTCCGGGACCACGAGGCCGCAGAGCCTCCTCCTCCTCCTCCCTCCACAGGCTGTGTCCACGGATGAAACTGCAGCTTTCCCCTAGGAGGATTTTGTGTGCATGACCTGGATTGTATTCAGTTGCTCATTTCTTTTCAACGTTGTGTTTCCTGGTGGCTTTACTGAGGACACTTTTCTATCTAGAGCTGTCTCCAGAGCCCAGCTCTAGCCATACGCTTCGGCTTTACTTTTGCAGGTGCAGCTGCAGAGAACATGCTAGGCAGCTTGCTGTGTTTGCCAGGTTCAGGATCCGTGTTGCTTGATCCCTGCACAGGTTCAACCATATCAGAAACCACAAGTGAGGCGTGGAGTGTGGAAGTATTACCAAGTGATTCAGGTCAGAATTGGGCAGTTTTTGCTTTTTTCTTTAGCATGATTCTAAGACTCTTCCAGAGGCATATAATGCAAAACAGCAGCCTCTTCTTTCTTCAAGAAATTGTTGTCCTAGGATTAAGTTGGTGTTTATGAATACTTCCAGGATTAAAAGGACAAATCGTTCCTAGGCGGAGAGAAGAAGGAAAGCATTGGGAGAGACTTACTGTTACTTAAGAAATTCTTAAGGGCTGAAGGGGAAGAGAAGGGTTTGCAAAGCAAACTTTCACTTGCTTTCCTTCCTTGTGATATTGAGTAGGGGCAGTTAGTGAAGGTGTGACTGTATCCTGTTGTGTCTAAGAAATACAACACTTTAAACAGTAAACACTCCTTAGCATTCCTGTGCAGACAGAGCATTGCTGTCTGTGCAGAGTTCTGCCTTCTGTATCAAAGAATATAAGAAAACTCTTGCTGAAGTGGTTGAGTTACCTTAGAACTGGATACACTAAATCAACACCCACGCATTCCTTCTGCGTGTGAACGTTAAGGGAGCCTGGCATTGAGGAATGATACTTTCTCTCTCTGCTCTCCACTGTCTCCTTTTTGTAGAGGCTCCAGACTTAAAACAGGAGGAAAGACTCCAAGAACTGGAGAGCTGTTCTGGGCTGGGCAGCACGTCTGATGACACAGATGTGAGGGAGGTCAGCTCTCGACCCAGCACTCCAGGACTCAGCGTTGTGTCAGGTGTGTTCAGCTGTCCCTGAAAACACACTGTTCTGTCAGAGCACTCACCCTGCTGCACATGCTTTAGTTATACATCACTCATAAAGTAACTTCCTGCACTCATTTGGGAATTTTCAAAGCAGTGATTCTCTGTTCTTAGGGAAGAAATGAAGAAGGCAGCAGAGTCGTGAATACTCTGTGCTGCAACAGCAGTGGTTGGCAGAGCACTGTCGATTTGGAAGAAACTCCAAACTTTCTTGTGTTTAGCTTTATTATCACAAGTTTTTTTATTTCAGTAAATCAACATATCTCTAGTTCTTCATTTTCTGACAAGTATGTAACAGAGTAAAGTATCTTTCTAATGCCCCTTGTCAGAGTGTATTCATTGCAGTGTTAAAGCTTTTCAAAATATAGACCAGAAATTGTTATTTTGGGAGTGCAGAAACTCCTGGTGTCTGTTGGTGCTACCGTGATTACTGCAGTATTTACCAAACATCTGTACAGCCTCAGGATTTTGCTTCCTCGCTCTCTGAAAGACTATTATGGATGCTTCTTTTGTAAGGTATTAGTGCAACATCTGAAGATATTCCTAACAAGATTGAGGATCTCAGATCTGAATGTAGCTCTGACTTTGGGGGAAAAGATTCTGTGACAAGTCCTGATATGGATGAAACAGCCCATGGTAAGTTACTCACCTGGAATCTCTGATAAGCACAAATGACATTTATAGAGTCCTTAAATGTTACAGGTTTTCCAATTTCAAAGTGCTGGTGACTAAGCTCAACATTTTCTGTATTTGCCAGCAGTATATTTGTTTGACAGCTTTAGTGGTTTTCAGTACTAGAGCTTGAGTAGTGGATCTAAGATCACCTTTCCCTAATTTGGTTTGATTACACTGACTGTCCTCTTGCATTTTGGAGTCGGGCCACTCCTGAAGATTTCCCCACTATTTGTGATGTGACTCTTTGATCATTGCCATGAACTACAGAGATCTTTCCATACAAGAATATCTTTACAAATATTTTGCAGTTTTGTAACCTGCTGTGACTGAGCACTCTTTCTCCAGTGTCCCTCACGTTGGAGGCAGTTTTGGTACAGCACTAACTTTGTTCTCTCTGTATTTCAGGAGCCAGTCATTTGACATCTCCTCCTTCTCAGACAGATTCTTTGCTTGCATTGTTTGACCCTCTGTCCTCAAATGAGGGTGAGTTGTAAAGAGTAAGCTTTTTTATTTTTAAAAATAGGCATTTTCAATGCTTCTGTGGAAATACCACATAATTTGGAAGAATCTTAAATGTGTGTGGCTTCTTTTATGCTTACGACCACAGGAGTGTCAGCTGTAGTAAGGCCTAAAGTGCACTATGCAAGACCCTCCCATCCACCTCCAGATCCGCCCATTTTGGAAGGAGCCGTGGGAGGTAACGAGGCCCGACTGCCAAACTTTGGGTCTCACGCCCTGATTCCAACTGACCTGGAGGCCTTCAAGCAGAGACATTCCTACCCGGAGAGGCTGGTGCGCAGCAGGAGCTCAGACATCGTGTCGTCGGTGCGGAGGCCCATGAGCGATCCCGGCTGGAACAGGCGTCCTGGGAACGAGGAGCGGGAGCTGCCCATGGCCACCGGCAGCGCCGGAGCAGCTGTGCTGGCAGCCACGTCCCAGTCATCCTCTTCATCTCCCAGCAAGGACTCCTCCAGGGGAGAGGTGAGGCTTCTGTTTATCATTTCGGTTTTATCTATTGTGCCCACTTTAACTAAGCATCCATGCCAGAGAGTTGGTATTCAATGTGTTTAGCCAAGGAATTACAGCACATTGTTGTTACCCTTTAAACATTGCCCAGTCATGTTTTATAAGCTAAAGCTGCAGATGTCCAGAGTGGCTTAAATGGAGCTGGCTTCTCTTAAATTTACTGGATGAGCTTTATTGGATTTGGTTGCACTTCAGAAATGAATTCATTGTAATGTTAAACTGCTGCAGCAGCCTGAGAAGTAATTATCTTTAAAAGAAGAAATAAGTGAAATGTAAGGTTCTTCATGACTTTGGGTTTGCATTTACAGGCTGTCCTCTTCAGGAGGGATATTTCTGACTTAATCTGCTCTCTGTGCTCTGCTGTAGTTCTGTTTTTACAGTCAGTGTAGCAGAGCCTGATGTGGAGAAATTCCCTCTTTACACTTGATTTGGTAAATGCTCAAATGTAGACTCTGCCCTTCTGCAGATTGAGGAACGAAAAGACAGCGATGATGAGAAGTCTGACAGGAACAAGCCCTGGTGGAGGAAACGTTTTGCATCTGCCATGCCCAAAGGTGGGGTCAATGTCTGTCGGGTTTTGGTCCTTCAGCCAGAGTGCACGCTGCCTTTGTTATATCTTTAGTCACTTTAATGGCTAAACTAAAGTATAAATAAATATGTAAATAAAAATAGGAAGCTACCTGACCCCTTGGATAGTAGTTCTCTAGAGTGTATTGTACCTGGAAGGCAAAACTGTTCTGCCTGGGTGTCTGGTAGAGGTGGAGCTTACTGCAGATGATGGCAGTGCAGTTCTATTCAACCCTGTGGATAAGCTTATCATTGAAGTTTATTTGATGAAAATCTTCTGCATTAGCCACTTGCTTAAAGTTTCTCCAATTTGGCCATTATCTCAGAATAGTCTTTGATGAAGTACCTTGCATTTTCAGCTCCTATTCCGTTTAGAAAGAAAGAAAAACAAGAAAAAGACAAAGATGACATGGTGCCTGACAGATACGCAACACTTCAAGGTATGTGAATAATATCATCATAGTAATTTCCTCTCAGAACGTGCCTTCTGGAGTTCCAGAGTGCCCACCAGGTAGCTGTTGACAGACAAGTATGTGCTGCTGTAGTTAATGTTCACAACTGGCGTTTTGAATAAGAAAATGGATAAAGACTTCTTGACTTGAAGACTGTTTTTAAGTTGTCAGGCGTCTGTCAGTGCAGATAGCGGAATCTCAACTCAAGTCCTCACTTTTTACCCCCCTACCATTACAGAGCTCACATCCTTGTCACAGCTGAGCTGTAAGGATGGCTGCACGCACAGTCCTGTAATAGTAACTTAAGTGCTAAATTAAACATGATTTCAACCTGGGTGTTTCATTTTCCGTTCGCCTAATCATTTCTAGAAGTCTTCAGATATCCCAGAAACATTTGTGTATGCAGTATAGATGTGCTGAGGGTCTGCTCAGGATCTGGCTTTTCATGTTCCCTTTCATTGTACTGTTTTTTTCTGGTTTGCTTCAGACTTTATAAATATATTTGAATTGAGGCTTCATGAAATACAAGCAGCTCTTTGTTTGATGTGGCTAAAAACAGAGTCCAAGTGTGTAGGTCTGAGTTTTTGTATTTGCTTTCAGTTGGCACAACACCAGGGTGACTCCTGTTGTTTTTTGTGGTCCTTTCAGATGATCCCAGCCCAAGGCTCAGTGCACAGGCACAAGCTGCTGAGGACATTCTGGACAAATACAGGAATGCAATCAAGAGAACCAGTCCCAGTGAAGGAGCCATAGTGAACTATGACAGTGCAGGTGAGAGCCTGGCTTTTGGAATCATCACCAACGTAGTTTCTCCTCCTTAAAGATAAAACCACTTCAGTATTTTAGACCAGCGTTAGCATTACCAGCCAAACAATGTGAGCTCTAAACCAGGAATGTTTTGCCAAATAATCTGTGGGACAGTCCCACAGAGGCTGGGAATTAAATCAGTATTCCCAAGGACCCCTCTTCCATAATGCCATTGCCATATTGGCTGGTTATTGATAGTACACCTCCTACCAGGTTTTAATTTTCTTTTGTTTTAATGGGTACTGCAGAAGTGTATTGCCTTACAAAACTGATGCTGTTTTTTCTTAGCAACTTGTAGATTGTGTATTTTGATAAGCTTTTTTCACTTATCCAAAATAAACTGGTTTATTTGCTGTCTTCATTTTCCACCCTGACCTTAGAATAACAAACGGAAAATTAGTCTGGTTTCTTCTTCTGGCTCTGTAATGTTTCTTTTTCTCCACAGAGGCTCTTGGGGATGGTGAGAGCATGCACGACTCCCCACGGGATGAGGCGTTGCAGAACATGTCTGCAGACGATCTCCCAGACTCTGCCAGTCAAGTAGCACAACCACAGAGTTCTGCTTTCTCCTATAGGTAAAGACATTTGCAGGTTTCGTCTTACCCACAAAGTAGAATTAAAAGCTGAACCTGTGAGTTTGGTTCCCACAAGAATCTTAATATGGATCAGTTGTAAAGTTTGATGCACTTTTAGTTCTAAGCATCTAAAACTGTTGTGTTTCCACTGATGAAGGAGGGATTTGTAACCTGAGAGAACAGAGCAGTTCAGTGTTTAGGAAAATTCCCTCGAAAATGGTCTGGGTGCTATATCAAAAGAAGTGCTATTCTGAAGTCTTGGCAATTTTGGTATATTAAAATTATGGTAAATAACTTCTAGGCAGTATTAAATAAAAAGGAAAGTAAGAACTTGTTGAAGAAGCAGACCTCGCAGCAACTGTGTTAAGAAAATATTTTTCCTCTTTAAGGGATGCAAAGAAGAAATTGAGATTGGCTCTTTGTTCAGCAGATTCAGTTGCCTTCCCGATGTTGACCCACTCAACACGGAATGGTCTCCCCGACCACACAGACCCCGAAGGTAAAAACGTTCTTTGTACTGTGTGTGTCTCTTGTTGTCCCCCATCCAATGACACTTGTGCTGCACCATTTGTGGTCGCTTCTCTTTGCTATAGACTTAGAAGGCACAGGCTGCCTCTTGTCCCCAGAATGTTTTCGTTCTTGCTTCACAAACTGCCATTTAAATCTGGTCTCATTTTTTTTTAATGAAGTACCACAGATATAGTGCAGGTGGAGCCTGAGGTTGTAGAATAGACTCCCAAAATACATGTGCTGTTGGGAATTGTGCTACACGAATGACTTAACTAGTCTTTATGTTGACTTACTATATATGTGTTGTGTTGTGTCCCTCCTTTTGTTCTATGTTTATTTGCAGGCAGGTGAATTTGAATTTATTACCTTACCTGGTCCACTTCATGTTTCAGAATGATTCTAAATACTAGATAAGATTGTGATATGAAAACTTATCCCCTGATATCTGGAAAATTCAAGAAAGCTTATTAAACTGTTCTAAAATAACATTTATTGCCTCATATACAGAAATGTTGTTTTAAATCACAAACTGGTTTTGAATATGGGAAACAATAATTTTCATCGTGCTCTTTTCTTTTCCTTAACGATTTTTCTTTGTTCTTTATTAGATAATGAAATTGTGTGCTTCTTGAAAGTTCAGCTGGCCGAAGCCATCAACCTCCAGGACAAGAACCTGATGGCGCAGCTGCAGGAGACGATGCGCTGCGTGAGCCGCTTCGATAACAGGACCTGTCGGAAGCTGCTGGCCTCCATTGCAGAGGACTATAGGTAGCTTGTTCTTTAATAACAGCATCCCAAATTCATATTTTTATTCACTAGCAGATTGGGAACATCCCTTTTGTTTTAAATTGTACTTCAGCAAGCCAGGTTATTACACCTCTGCTTCCCCCCAGAACAATGAAATTGTCTCACCTATCTGTGAATGGCGTAAAAAAGCTTGGCCCTTAAGTTGTTCCAGGTAGTAATAAACTCAGCTGAATACTCCCCACAAATTGATTTAACCTATAACACACACAAAATGCAGTTTGGAACTTGCTTTAGTCTGGCATTCTTGAGTGCTGCCAGGGCAGTGTGAGGTGAACTTCCAGAGTCACACATTGTTGTGTTTTATAAACAACAGGTTGAAGACTCCTCCTGCACTATAGCTTAGCAGTTTGTGAAGCTGTTAGCCTCTGTTACCAATCTGATGTAGAGCCCTCTTTATTTTAGGAAAAGAGCTCCATATATCGCTTATTTAACTCGCTGTCGCCAAGGCCTGCAGACGACACAAGCACACCTGGAAAGGCTCTTGCAGAGAGTTCTACGAGATAAAGAAGTGGCCAACAGATACTTCACTACAGTATGTGTGAGGTTACTGCTGGAGAGCAAAGAAAAGAAAATAAGGGAATTTATTCAAGGTAAGATTAATGCAGACTGGAGTGTTTATATTCGTTCTTATTTAGGTGCTGGCTTGGGTTAATGTTTTAAAATACAACTTTTGGTCTGAGGAGAGGACTCTTAAAATGGTGAATTAACGGCTCAAATAGATTACTGTGACTTTACTATATGTTGTGGCAGCTAAGCCATGATAACTGCCTGCATTTTTCATGGGCTGGGAGAATGAAGGTGATTTGACCTTGCTTTGGCCTAAGAAGTTGTGCTAAATCATATTATCTAATACCATGGAAGAAGCATGAATACTGTTAATTATTTTAGATCTACTGATAAATGGTAAATGAAGTTGCAGCGTTCAATTCTTAGTCTAGAACCTGTGGTTGCATCTTAGAAGGTATGAGGGGTAGTAGTAGCATGAACCAAATGAGTCAAAGATTTAAAAATATCATGGCATAAGGAACAGCACCACCAGGAAGACAACTCTCTAAACAGAACCACTTACACCAAACTAGTTCTATGCTCTCTAGGCACGTGTGTGACTTAATGGAGCACATAAGGAATTTGGAGTCAGTTCTTGCTCCTGGAGCATTTGGGTGCTGCATATTAAATGTGCCTGAATAGGCTGGAATTAATATGAGATCTTGCATTCGCTGGGATGAGAGTATTTGTAGTAAGATTCAGTGACCCAGGAAGGAGTTAAAGCCCTTTCACTGGACAGAAAGGAGACAGCTATTTCTGGATGATCTAAAAGAGCCACTGGCAGCCGTGGCATTGAGGCTGCTGGCAGATGTGAGTGGCAGCTGTCTCTGGGGCAGGGTGCTGTAAATATGAAGCTGATGAATGGGCAGTGATTTGGTCATGCTGCATTCGCTGGGCTGATCACTCAGTCTGTGTTTTGTACATAAACACGAATGTTGCATCTATGTGTACTTAATAAAGGTAGTGGGAAAGGGGGCAGATGGGTTTCCATATCTACCCCAGCTCCCCCTTCAGCATCTGACAGCTTTGTGTGTGCTGGTTCCTGCCAGTGCCTGTCCCAGGGATTGCTGTGGGTGGCTGGGAAGAGGCTTAAGAACTGGTGCTGCAGAGGGAGAGATTAACACAGTATCGAGTATTTTGACCATAAGCTTTACTAAATATGTTCTATATGCTTTTCCTCTAATGCCTCCATTTATTTCAACTGTTTCTGCTTGTATTTCTCTTACTGGGATGTGGGCAAAACAGCCTCACTGCTGGCTGGCAGGAAGTCTGAAAGAGATTCTGGGTTCTTCTTGCCAGAAAACTCTATCAGAATTAATACTTTTTACTTAAGTGAATGTTCTTTCTCTTCTTACCTCGTGTCAGATTTCCAGAAGCTCACAGCAGCAGATGATAAAACAGCCCAAGTTGAGGATTTCCTTCAGTTCCTGTACGGGGCTATGGCTCAGGATGCCATATGGCAGAATGCCAGTGAGGAACAGCTTCAGGATGCACAATTAGCCATCGAGCGCAGTGTGATGAATCGCATTTTCAAACTTGCCTTCTACCCTAATCAGGATGGAGATATTCTGCGTGACCAGTAAGTTAATGCCATTCTGAGTGCTTGGTTTCTCTTTCGCAGTTGCTGCAGATGGAAGCTGTGTGCCCTTCCTGTGACAGACTTGTCTTTGTCAGCCAGGCCACACAAACTCATATTTTTGTTCGGAACATTTTACAAAAGACCAAGGAAGTGCTTTAGCACCGTTTGTAACCATGTTTGCAACAAACTGCTAGAACAGAATGAAGTTGTAAATGCAATGACTTGGGATACAGTCGGGTCTGCAAGTGTGTGCTCCGAGAGAATGATCAAAACCTGCCTCAGGACTCATCCATTTCCTGGTTTGGTGCAGTGTTTTCCACGCATTTGGGGTTTTTGTTTCTGTGTTTTAGAATAGATGCTGTTGGAATGCTCTAGGAGCTACTTGGTTGTACAGCACAGTCCTCTGCACCCTCACTGACCTGGTGTCCATCAGCTGTAGGGCCACCATGACTGTGTACATTCCTGCAGATATCCCTTGTAGTATCAAATTTAAAAGGAGTGGGAAGCCCCAGGGGACTGCAGGCTGGCTGCTGCTTGCTTTTCACTCGTGTTTTTTGTGTTTTCAGGGTCCTTCATGAGCACATACAGAGGTTATCCAAAGTAGTGACTGCAAACCACAAGGCCCTTCAGATACCTGAGGTAACAACTCCTTTCCTTCACTTCTGTATGTGTGTCAGGGTGCTTGGTTTTGATTATGTTTGGGATGGGGAGAGGATTGTTCTGCTTTTCACTTAGAAGTGTTGCTTTTCTGTCCATGACAGCTGACATATCCTGCAGGAAAAACATGCTCTACCCATGCCTTAGTGTCTTCCCTTGACTGATCCTTCTAAATTACTTTTTTTCTCATTTTGCCACTTCTGTCCTAATATTAAAATTTAAGAACCAATGCTATACTGCACTAAGATGCAGTAACTTTCTGATAATTTGCTTCAAAAGAGAAGATTTGAATCCTTTACGCTTCTGATGTGATTCCCCTGCCATGGCTGTGGTTTATGGCTGTCAAGTTAACTTTCTGAACCAGCCAGAATTAACAAACCCTTGCAGCTCTGTGAATTTACCCAGCGTTCCCGCTTTTCTCGTGCCTAATAGGATAACTAAAAGCAGGTTGGTAGGCTCAAGGAGTCTGTCAGGGCTGGATGTCTGCAGCTGCCTGGCTCTCAGTTCAGCACTTGAAGTGTGTGACTCTAAACAGTGAGTGTTCCCAAAGGAAGAGAGGCCCTACAGCTCTGCCTTCACCTGGAACAGGGTCCTGAGCCATGGAAAAGTACAGGCTCATTGTGGGAGTTGCACACAGAATACTGACTCCTCCTATTGGTTTTGTTTGGGTAACACCTCAGGAAGCCACCTGCACTGTGAGTGTAGTGTAACCATCTCAGCCACAGACTCACAGAATGGGTTGGGTGGGAAGGGACCGACCATAGAGCCCATCTGTCATGGGCAGGGACACCTTGCACCAGCCCAGGTTGCTCCAAACTCTGTCCAACCTGGCCTTGGACACTTCCAGGGCTGGGGCAGCCACAGCTTCTCTGGGCAACCTGTGCCAGGGCCTGCCCACCCTCCCAGGGAAGACTTTCTTCCAAGTATCCAACCTACATCTGCCCTCTTTCAGTTTGAACTCATCTTGCCTTAAAGCTTCCCTTTTCTCCAGAGCCTGTGAGTCTCTGGTCTGTGGTGCACAGCAGCAGCTTGGACAGACAAGAACTGGCAGCATGTCGGTCTTTCCACAGGTGTATCTCCGGGAGGCACCGTGGCCGTCGGCACAGTCTGAAATCCGCACGATAAGTGCTTACAAAACCCCCCGAGACAAGGTGCAGTGTATCCTGAGGATGTGCTCCACCATCATGAACCTGCTCAGCCTGGCCAACGAGGATTCAGTACCCGGGGCAGATGATTTTGTTCCTGTTTTGGTTTTTGTCCTCATAAAGGTGAGTTTTTTTGCAGAGGTCACAAACCCCAGCTAATTCTTGTCATTAACAAGCACATTTAGGAGGAGAGGTAATCCCTGTGGGTAATGGGGAGCATGCCAGGCTCAAACCCACGTCTGATTCAGCAGGTTGGAATGGGAATCACAAACATGGTCACAGTTACCATTTTTGAATCCAAGCAAACTTAGCATTTGGAACCAAGGAAATTGGGGTGCAGATTTTGTGTGTGGAGTGGAGTTTGTTTGAGATATGTCCACCAGCATCTGCCATCAGTGCCTGCTTCGTGGTGTCCTCTCAGGAACAAGATCCACGCTAGGACTGACTTGTGTTGTGTTGCTGGTCTTTTTGACATGAGTGGAGAATGGTCTGTCACGTGTCAGACACTAAAACAACGGGCTCTGCATGTGTTGAGGTCCTGATGACCTTCACAGATTCTACCAGTGTTCCCCTTCTTTCTCTTGGCCTGCTAGTCACTTCTCCTTGATGGAAGAAGGCTCCTTCTGAGCATGTGAGATGGGGCTGGTCAGGATGAGCAGTGAGATAAGTTACACACTGTGTGGTATCAGGATCACTGCACAAAGGGAGTTGTGGTTCTTTCTGTATCCTGCACTGTTTGGTGCTGAGCTTTGCAAACAAACTGTGAGAATCTCTCTCTTCTCCCACCCCAGGCAAACCCCCCTTGCCTGCTGTCCACCGTGCAGTACATCAGCAGTTTCTATGCCAACTGTTTGTCTGGAGAGGAGTCGTACTGGTGGATGCAGTTCACGGCAGCCGTGGAGTTCATCAAAACCATCGATGATCGCAAGTAACTCGCTCAGCACGTGCATGGGCAGACTGTGAGCAGGAGAGGAGTGTCTGAGAATGTACAACAGCTGCAAAAGCTGAAGAAGAGACTTTCCTTGTATAATACTGTACAGAATTGAGGCATTTTAAAACACACCTTTACTAATCTAATTAATTTAAGAGATTTTCCTCTTCTCTTTGGGTTGCGTTTTTCTCCCCTCTAGATACTGGCACTGCAAAAGGGACCACAGTTTTCAGGTATTTTGGAATCTCAAAACATGCAGAAAATGTTTCATGCTTTCTCCACCACCCCTCTTCCTGATTTCTTCCTCATGTGAATAGTTCATTTAATTTCTAACAGAAAACTGAAACAAGAGGAATCAGGGCAGCCACATAGTAAACTTTCTAGTTGAATACACCTTTTATTAAGAAAACACCAGCCACACTGAAAGTTTGTAGTAGCTGACATCAGTTATCGATTATATTTCACCTAAATTTAAAATCTGAGAGGACAATGTAAATATTATATAACTATATTTAATGCATTGCAAGTTTCTTTGGACTCATTATCCTTCGAATAAAAAGCAAAAGCCTCTCTGACCTCTAACAGGTTGTGATGTACCATGTTTTGGTGACAGAAGGACTTCCTAGAAAGGCTAAGATTTAAAAAGGGCAAACTGAACTATTTATTAAAATGTAATTAAGATTACTGAAATTTCTAAAACTGGAATTTATAATAGGGCTTATTAGCTAGCTGAACACTTCTTGGCTAGGGCATTAGGGTGTTACAGAGGTTTGGATATATAGAGGAGAGGGACTGTAAGTTACAATAGAGAAGTCTAATATAAAAAAGTAAAAATAAAATACCTTACTGTAATATTTTTTCTGATCTATTGTGTATACTGTACAAACCCCAAACAGAGATCCTTAACAGAACCTTGGGCTGTAATATATATTTTGATTAGTGACATTAAATACATATGCCAGGGGTTTCAGTGAATGTTTTTACTAAATGTTCTTTGTGTTGTCTGCTATGCAGCAGTGCAAGTTTTACTGTTCATATGAAATATTTTAAAATAATATAACACTGTTCTTTATGAAACATATCATGGCATCAGTTCAGGGTGTTTTATACATTTCTCACCCCGCCTTTCCCTTAAACTGACAGTTACCAGTTTAAAGAGGTTTTTATGCACACCACCACGTGTGTTTTTCATGACTGAAGTGCTCTGGGGCATGGCCAGTGCGTGTTGGCTGTTTATAAGCACTTGCTGTCCTTTTTCAGCTTGAACACAGTGAGAAAGGACAGCGAGAATTGAACTTTTTCATGTCAGTATTATTTCTTGCTCTTTCCAGAGTGTTCATTGCACTTCTGACAGAGGGATGTGGTAAGACTTGGTGTCTGTGAGTGGTAAAGAAAACAAAATCTTTCTCATGTTCTTTTCAAAACATGATTGGTTCATTTTGTGTGTGGGTGCATTTCAGTGATTAAAACCTGTAAGCAGCGAGTACTTGGGAAAATCATGCAGTTAATTGGAATTGGAGCAAAGGATTGAGTGCTTGATTTGGCTGTGCTACTTGTCAGGGCGTAATTAAAGACACACACTTTCTTGGACTCAGATATAACTCAGTTCTGCCAAACTAATCACAGGTGAGAAGTTGGGATGGTAACTCTTTCTTAATAGTCTTTCTCCTCTATTAGAGACTCGACTGTGTGGAGGAGCAATACTCAGTCCAAACAGAATTCTTCTGATCTGCCTTACTGTGGTGACTCAGTCTGTGTAGCACTGCAATATTTTGGTTATTTAGCCTCGATGGGTTTTTGGTGCTGAACACGTAACTCAATATTGCAAGCACAGCCCTGACCAATAACACTCAGCAGCAAAGCACAAACATGCCCTTGAAGATATGTCCAGATCATATCAAAAAGCAATATAAATCCATTTATAGTGAAGTGTCCTGTAATATGTAATTACTACTTGAATATCCAAGACAGTAAGAACGAAGTGTGAAAGTTCTCTTAGTCCTGCAGTTTGGGTGTTGGTTGAGGAGAGTATTTATAGGATCCTTAAAGGAGGCATAAAGACACTGGAACTGGTGATCACCCTGCACGTTGCCTCTTTGCTGACCTGGACACAGGGTTGGGTCAGCACCACTGCCTCTTTCAGGTTTACTCTCCCTTATAGAAGGGGCAAGAACCATTTTCTTCACAGCTTTTATCACTTTATTTTTCTGCATAGAAAAATATTTAAAAGAACTGGTGTCTTTTTTTAATTGTTATTCAGTTATTTGAAAACCAGTAAGTTTCAGTGAGCCCCAGGTGAGCTGAGAGTTTTTGTAGCAAGATGGTCCTTTGCTTCTTTTTTTCCAACCTACTCTGAAGGTCCTTTATATAATCTTGATAGGTGTAGTTAGAGAATTAGGCTTTCCAAAGAATTAAAAACCTGCCTGTAATGTCCTTTTACTGTTTTCCCCGGTGTCCCGTAACGTTTTGTTTTAAAATGCTAAATTCCATGTCTAGGAAGTGGTGGTGTTAGGTTTGGTGTGCAATAGTGAAGGTGAAAAGACAGTGCATAAAGGACCAAAAGTACCAGAACTGCTGCCAAAAGGTGCCAGCCAGCCACGGGTTGCTGTAATCTCGGTGCTTTCTGTGAATTAAACTTCTTCAGCCACTGGAGGAGAAATGGGACATTTTGGGGACAGGGAAGGGGGAGAGGTCACTGGTGACAGGTCGCAGCCGGGGACTTTGGGCTCGGTCGTTGTTGTCAGTGCCGGTTGTTGGCACATGCTGAGGAACTGCCACATGAAACGAGGGCACGTCTGTGCCTGGGAATGTTACAGAGGTGCTGGTTTCCTTTTTGGGTAGAGGAGGGAAAGAGGGCTGGGTTTTTCATCCCTAGGAGATTCCTTTGTGCTCCTAAGTGAGATTTCTCTTTAAAGCCTTTTTAAATCCTCTTTAAGGAGAATCAGAATGTCTCTGGCCTACCAAGGATTTGAGTTTAAAAGTTTTTGTTTTGAAGACCTTTTACTACCAAATGCTGAATGTAACTGCCATAAATTTCAGGAAAAAAAGCCACGAACATGATACTGTTTCCTGTGGGTGAGTCTCTGGTGAGCACAGTGTTGGTTCGTATTGCTTGAAAATGTTCTTGTTCTGTTAAACCAAATTCTCAGAGAATTGGGGAACTCTGCCATGGGAATGGGGAGGGGTGAAGAGGGTGGGAGAGGGGGCAGAGCTGCGTGTTTGCAGGAGTGAGTCACGATGTGCTGGGGGAGCTGGAGCAGCAGGAGGGCAGTGGGGACGGAGGGGGAAGGATGCTCATGTCTGGGTACAGCTGGGGGTGTGGTTGAGCCTGTACTACTTGAGAATTAACCTCTGCTAAGTTAGTAGTGTGTGTTCTGTACCTTTTAATTGTGCTTTACCTCTATTGAAAAGCTTTGTACTGCCTCTCCTCTTTGGTAAAGCCTTTATAAATCTAAATTAACGAGCTTGCACAATCTTGTATACAGGAACCCCATCTTGTCTCTTAACGTGATTATTAATGTATTATTCTGTAAAAACTGATTAAAAGGAGAGCAGTTTAACCGCCTGGCTTTGACGTTTCTGCCTTGTTCCGATGCCATCACCAGTTCTGCTGGGGATGGCAGTGCAAGTGTGAGCAGCTTCCCACTAACTCTGTGAGGTTTCCTGTTGAGCATCGCTGCTCTGCTCCATCCCCACACCTCTCAGGGAAGGGACAGTGGCAGAAAAGAACCAAAATCCAGTTAAAGGGAAAGGAAGCATTGCTGCATTGACTGATTAACACAGAGCTCTTCAGGTATTATTTTAATTCCTGCAGCTTAGCTGTTCTAATAGCTTGAGAGGAAAGGAGTGACTCTGCCTGCAGCAGGACCGTGCCCATATCTCCACTGCCTGCTGTTTGATGCCTTGATGGGAGTGCTCAAGTCCAAAAGTATTATGTTTGCATCTTATTTCTTACAAAATGTTCATTTTGCCTGTGAGGCAGGAGCATCTCTTCAGCTGCCCCCCTGGTCCCGCCGCCGAAGGGGGCAGGTGGGCGCAGTGGTGGGAGCGGGGCGGATGCGCGGCCATGGCACTGCCATGAGTTTGGTCCCCGCAGTGTTATTGACCTTGATTCTCTCTCATTTGCATCCAGCATTTTTCATCCTCTGGAATATGGTGTTTGGGGACCTTTCCATCATTAAGTGGATTTACAGCAATTTCCTTATGTGTTTTCTCCAAGGGATTCTGTTATGAGAGGCACATTAAATCTCCATTAATACCTCATTATCCGACTGATAAGATTACCATGATAATGAGGCAGAAATTCTAATTGTTTCACTTCTTATTGTGCCTTTCATTAAATCATATACCTGGAAGTTGCTGTCGGAGAGGAGAGCTCCAGCCTGCAGAGCTGGAGAGGTGACCTGGTCCTGTGCATCCTGGTCCTGTCCCGCAGTGCTCGGGGGATCCTGGGACCTGCTGGCCTTTTCTCCCGGGCTCCTGTACCTCCTGTACCCCGGCCTTCCCTCTGTGGCAGTGCTACCAGGAGGGCTTCTTTGGCAGCCTGCCCTGGGAGCATGGATTTGGAGAGACCCCGTTCCACGTGCCCACACCGTGGTGGTTCAGAGCTGCTCGGTCCCGAGGGTGGCTGAGCACAGGGGGTGCAGCCTCCGCCAGAGCTGTTAGAGCCCATCAGGTCAATGATCCATGAACTAAGAAGTCTCTAAGCAGGAGCAATTATTGTCTATCATGTGTCAAAGGCGCCCGTATTGACCCCGATAGATGGAGCCGTTATGGCCTGTTGAGGCAGCGATCCATGAACGGGAGGGTTCAGGGGAGCAGAGGTCTCAGCACTCCACACCAGCACCGTCCATCCATCCGTCCTGCCCGTCCCCGCAGGGTGAGGGAGGCACAAGGTGAGGGGGCAGGGGTGGGTTTGGGGAGGGGAGCAGTGTGGATGCTGCCAGCTCAGTGTTGTGCCAGGGGCCAGGCTGGGCTCGGGGCACAGCCCCCCTGGGCTCCTCGGGGGATGTTCTGCATCTGCCCCATCCCCTGGGCCCTGCTCCCCTGGGGTGTGTGCAGGGATTCCCTGGGAGCAGCACGACCTGAGCTCTGGCCCTAGGACTGGAGACACTTCAGTGGGGGAACTGGCACCATTCCTGCAAACAGGCTGTTCCTCA